GATTCACACTCGTTTTCATCAACCTCACATACAGTTCCATGAATGCCCTGCGGACATAAACACTCAAAAGACCCAAATGTGTCGATACACGTGGACTGATGTTGGCAAGGATTGGAAATGCATTCATCAATGTTATTCTCACAACGTTTACCAGAAAAACCAGACTGACATGCACAATGAAAATTGTTCACTCCGTCGCTACATGTGGAATTATGTAAGCAAGGATTGGAATTGCATTCATTTATATTTTGTTCACATACTTTACCAGAATAACCTGGTGGACAGACACAAGAGAAGCTGCCATTACTATTTACACAGGTGGCAGATCCAAAGCAGGGGGAGGACACGCATTCATCAACATCAACATCACATAAAGCACAAATCCACCCCTTGGAACAATTACAATAGAAATCTCCCTCTAAATTAGTGCATTTTCCATTTATACAAGGATTGTCATCACACTCATTTACATCTATCTCACAGGTTTCCCCAATCCATGCCACAGGGCATGCGCAGTAAAAGCTTCCGACTGTATTAACACAGGTACCTCCGTTTCCACATGAAAAATTGCGACATTCATTTACATCAGAATCACAAAGTCTGCCAGTAATACCTCGAGGACACATGCACCGGAAGCTATCTATATCATCTACACATGTTGCATTCCCATGACATGGACTGCTGCTACATTCATCAATATTGACGTCACAATGCATACCTGACCAACCCCCTCTGCATTGACATTTAAATCCGCCAATCAGATCTGTACACGTAGCATTATTTTTACAAGGGATTAACAAACAATCGTTTATGTTTTCCAAACACGTCTTTCCAGAAAATCCATTCAAACACGTGCAATGAAATCCATTTATAAGGTCTGTGCAAGTTGCATTATTTTGACAAGGGGAGGATCGACACTCATCTAAATCAATTTCACATCGTGTGCCTAAAATAAACAGCATCCCATGCAAGCGACGTAAAACAAATATTTAAAAAAAAATCAAAATTATTTTTGAATACATGATGGGTTTTGATGATTGGCATACCAATAAGACTCATTACTGATAACTATGATCAAACGAAAACTCGTTATTTAAGATGAATTACAAAATAATGATAAAACGTGCGAAAATCAGGTTGTCAAACTATCCTTTCTATATAAAACATTCAGTGTTTATATTAACTGCATCTCTTTTAGTTCAAAAGGACACTCATATTAGGAGATAACGAACAGTATTCACGATAAAAAAAATTCCATAAAACAGTACACAATAGGAGCAGAGTAAACACGGACCTCCGAAACATCAGAGGTGGGATCAGGTTCCATGGGGGAGTGAGCATCGGTCACATCCGCCGTATGCTCCTTGTCATGATCGGGAAAAAACAGAAAAATCTGTCACCAATTTAGTGTGTAAATAATGAACTAACATAATTGATGAAAAAACGTCAGTCAGAATTCGACTTAATGATAAACTGTATTTGCTGACAAAGTCATTGTATCGACCATAGAACTTACAAAATGATGATTTTGAAATAAGACTGTTGAAATTCTTGTTTCACCAACTTGTTTGTCAATAATTAAAATAAATTTATCTCGTTTTAGAAATTGTGTGTACGTACACTGACTCTGCCGTATGGAATTAGCTGAGATGTATAAACTATCTATGCTGGTGATGAAGGTATTTTGCTTCATATTAGTAAGGAAAGAGAAATTATTTATTTTTAATCGTTTTATTTGCGCTTTTATGCAAAGAATTTACAAACTTCTTTGGAAAACTTGTAACTATTTTAAAATTGTGACGCAATATTAGTCAGGTGTATGACGTCACTGATACATCAATGGGAACGCGTATTCAACCTGAATAATACTGCCAATCTTACGTTTAAAGGCGAAAATGAATTCTATTTTGAAAATAAAGTAGTAATTTTTTGTTAAATAATTTTATTTTGTGTATATATTCTAAATATTTCAGTAGGATTTCGATAGTAAGGTGTTTAGCAGATTTACCGATGCCACGGGAGATAACTCTTACATCACAAAATTTCATAAAAACGTCTCTATATTTTGACAGAAAACTACTATCAAAAGTGTTTTGCCCACCAATTTTATTTTTGAAACTGAAAGACAAAATATTTCTAGATTTAGTTCAGCTTGAATTATAGTCCTGTCAAATAAGTATTGGAAATTACAGTTCTTTGCTTCTGACCTAAATTCAATGGTTTATATAGGGGAATTCAAGAACACGAAACAAAAGGATATTTTACTAAATAAGCAATTTTAAAACAAATCTTCGATTACATTATTCCATATGGACTACATTGATATTGTTTTCACAAAATTTCAAATATTCGTCACATTCGATGTGCCGCCTATTAATACAACCCTGCCTGGTTTTTCGGCGGACTACCTCTTAACAAATGAAAAAATAAATTCATCACGTTTATCATAGAGCATGGTTGTTAGATTACCGTTAAACGTCTTTTTCAAGTAAAATATCCAAATATGAAAAGGTTGAGTAAAAATTATTTGGTACCCTTTATCTCAGTATCACCTGTATATATCGTATCGACATATCGACAGAATGGAAATTACCATTGATAATTGACAATACGTCGTCGATATATCTAAATGTCGATTTGAAGGCCACAGCAAGTGTTTTCTTCTTTTCACGCGTAAGATTTTGGACAAATTATGCTTCATATGAATACAAAAATAGGTCTGATAATAACAGGGCGCAGTTAGTACACATGGATTTTTTAATAGATTGTTGGAATATTTTCTCCAACAAAATATATGTTGTCATCAGAAATTCGAGCATCTTTTTGATGTTAACTTCCGAGTACATAGGCTTGTGTGTACAATCAAGATAATTCCAGCAAAATAATTTCGCAAAAAACACCGGAAAGAACAATGGCAAAGTAAGTAAATTTACGAGTTCCATTTTTATTGAAAAGCAGCTGTCAATGATACCAAAAAGCCTGAATTTTAATGAATCGTGGAAATAGTGTATAAATTTGAAAAGTCGAAAATTTTAATCTGTTGACTTTGGTAAAATCTTGTGATTTCAAATTGCCCATTACTATAGCATCCCCAATTTTTCTTTGTATACAGCCCCGCGCAGTTTTTAAGTTTATATGGTTTTTCGCACAAATTAAGGTCACATTCTTCTCGCAATAAAATTAAGGTCACTTTTTTACTTGCAGTGAATTAAACTAGGTTTCAAAAGAACGCGATACAATGACTGCTGCATTTGACGAGAAACCGTGAAAAAAACATATTGAAATTATCACAATCCATCAGCCATGAACTTTTTAAAATCCTACCAATAACTTAAAGATAAACACGCTATAATCGCTATTTCAATATTGCTGATTTCCAAATATACTACAACGCAGAGGATGTCCATAGGTCTACTGGGCTTGAAATTGAGACCTTCGAAAATTATAACAATTGTGTACAGGGCATAAACACGGACCTCGTAATATTGGCGAGGTAGAGATAGATGTTCCAGGAGGATTAAACATTCCCTGATGACCGGTCACACCTGCCCTGAACCCCATATAAGTATAAACACATAATAGCCAAAATGCAACGGGATCTTAGGTTCTCTTGCTAACACGCTTATTATAATGACCGAAGAATTTTAATTTTTAAAGAAATAGTTTAAATACTGATGTTATGGAAATCAATGTCATCAACTAGTCAAGCTGCTTTAAATTTTGGGTCGGCTAATTTTTTTTACATTTACAGTAACAATATTGATAAGCATGAAAACGACAAAATACATATTGAAAGCAAATTGGAAACACATATATCTGCAAAAGAATTTCCATTCGCAAAAGCAATAATACACATTTTAATAACTGATTCGTATTCAGATGATTATATGTACTAACCGTTGAATCCGTCCGCACAGACACAAAGAAAGCCTCCGTGTGAGTTGACACAGGTGGCGCTATTTACACAGGGTGAACTGAGACAGTTGTCAATCTGGACATGACATAGTGTCCCCTGCCAGCCTGCAACAAAGTTTTATCCTACATTTTAATATTTTTCATCTATTTACGAATGTCTTCTCCCTAATATGATACATGGCGGACCCCCGACTCTCTTCATAGTACTCAGGATTTTTTTTTTTTTTTTGGGGGGGGGGTTATTGTCACTAACTGTCTTTTATTAGCTCTCTCTGAGCCAAAGGCTCAAAGAGCTAATGCTATGGCCATTTGTGCGGTGTGCGTTAACTTTTTAGAACATGGGCCATAACTCAAGAACCCTCGGCCAATCAGTGTCAAATTTGTCACAGGGTATCCTTGGCCCAAGGGCTACCCTTTATACTAAAATAAGGGTTGGGACCTTTAAACAAGGGGAGATAATCAGGAAAACAAAACCAAAAGTACTGGTTGCTAAAAAATCTTCTTCTCCAGAACCACCAGGCAGATTTCCATCAAACTTACATACAAGGATCAGGATATGTTGAAGATTAAAAAGTGTTCAAGGCATGACCCTCGGGCAAAGGGCGTGGTCTCAAGGTCACTTCAAAGTTGACCTAAATTTACAAATAATAAAAACGTTTATATTTTGCTTACTATTAGGACTAGGATCATCAAATCTTGTAAGTTGATGCATCTCAGGACTTCACATCATGTTAACTCAAAAGTAGGTCACGGTGACCTACTTTTCAAATTTTGTGGGCATTTGTTTTCAAATTGATTTGAAGGCATATTTCAGGCACTTTAAGGCCTATGATCATCAAACTTTGTCAGTTGATGCATCTTGGGTCCTTGAACAACTTCAACTTAAAAGTAGGTCACCGTGACCTACTTTATTGAACTTTATGACTAATTCTTCTTAAAACATTTAATCCAATTATTTCAGACACTGAGAGGTTTAGAATCATCAAATCTTGTTAATTGATGCATCTTGGGACCTTAAAACATATTTATGAAAAAGTAGGTCACTGTGACCTACTTTTTGAATTTTGCAGGCATTTGTTTTCGAATTGTTTAAAAGGCATATTTTGATTACCTTCAGACCTAGGATCATCAAACTTGGTCAGTAGATGCATCTTGTGACTTTAAAAAATGTCGACCAAAACATAGGTCACGATGACCTAGTTTCAAAATTTTATGGCTATATTTTAGTATCTTAGGTATTTATTGGCTTAGAATCATCAAACTTTGTGAGTTGATGCATCTTGGGTTTTCGGAGAGTAACAAACAAAAAGAGTAGGTCACGGTGACCCACTTTTGACATTTTATGGCCTTATTAAAATATATACGTTACTTATTGGCTTAGAATCATCAAATTTTGTAAGTTGATGCATCTTGGGTTTTCGGAGAATGATGTCCAAAAAGTAGGTCACTGTGACCTACTTTTTTTATGGCTATATTTTAGATCTTAGGTATTTTATGGCTTTATTTAAGTATCTATGGTACTAACTGGTTTAGAATCACTAAACTTTGGGTTTTCGGAGAATGATGTCAAAAAAGTAGGTCACGGTGACTACTCTCGACATTTTATAGCTTTATTTAGAATGACTAACTGGTTTAGAATCACTAAACTTTGTTTGTTGATGCATCTTTGGTTTTTAAGACCAAAAAGTAGGTCATGGTGACCTACGTTTGAATATCTCAGGTACTTTTTGGCTTAGAATCATCAAACTTTGTCAGTTGATGTATCTTGGGTTTTCAAGGAATGTAGACAAAAAAGTAGGTCACGGTGACCTACTTTTAAATATCTCAAATACTTATTGGCTTAGAATCATCAATCTTTATTTCTTAATGCATCTTCAGTCCTCAGAAAACTTCAATCTTATTATAGGTCACTGTGATGTACTTATGGTTTTTCTATAGCTTTATTATTAAAAATATTTTCAGTCATTATTGGCTAAGAATCATCAAACTTTGTCAGTTGATGCAACTTGGGTCTTAGGATACTTAAGTTTAGAGATTTCAAATAGAAGTGATAGACTGTACAATTTATCAGAAGAGCGATTCAAGGCCCTTGGGCCTCTTGTTTATTTTATCAAAATAAGTATACACCTATATATGAAGTCATGTACTTTAATTTGAAATAAATTCAGACAAATTATAATTAAGTGAGTATGCACCGATATCTGCGTTCTATTACACATAATTATATAAACTTTCCTGTATTAAAAATCAGAACTTACATTTTTAACACATTTCTGATGTCCCTTTTCTATGCTGCTTAAATTAATATCTTATTTACATGTATCTTTAAATTATTTAAATTATTTGAACCGATTTCCACTCTTTATATTACAAAAATCAAGATATCCTCTCCATTTAAACATATAAATGAACCTTATTTACCTTTTGAACACGTTCATTTTCTATGTAACAAAATATATAATTTACCATTTTTAAAAATATTGATGACATCCACTGTTGATGAAACGAAAAACTATTTACCTTTCAAACATATTTTAGATCCCGTATTGGGGTCACAGGTATAGTGTCCGAAACGATCGTCACGTGACTGACAGAAAGTGGCACAGTTTTCCCCATAATAATCCTGGTCGCAGTAAACCTTCAATCTTAACCATAACCTGCAATTAAAAAGGTGTATTTGATGAAACTTAAATTACAATGGAGTATATCTGGCTTGTATAATAAATGTGGAGATTATTCAGCGGTCTGTTTCTTTTCTTTTTTTTTTTTTTTTTTGAGAATGTGATCTCAGAAGGAACTGTTACCTGTCTTTGAAACTGAATGTACTTTATACTCACATTTCTTCTTTAAAATATTGAACTTGAAACTTGAGAGAGAAATATTGAAATATAAAACATTTTCATTTACCTGCACATATGGCCATAACAAATTTTAACCTTTCCCTTATTTTCCAGGGTTATTTTATTCCAAATGCAAAATTAATTTCAATAGAATATTCAAAGTTCTTTATATCTTATCATAACCAAACTTTGCAAAAAGTAGATTGAGTTGTGTCCATTTGCTGGCCCAACCAAGAATGTCAGGTTTTTCATGTCAAAGTTACAAATCAAAAACCTACGAAGGGTTATGTAAAATATCTCATGGTTTCACCCCAAAGATGGCCACCAAATGACACGGATTTTGAAGTCTTTGCTCCCTGTCCAGTTTTCGGCTGTACATACAGAGGTCATAGTGTAAAACTCACAAGGTCAAGACCAGAAATCCATACGTTTATAGAGGATGTACAGGTCACTTGTATTATAAGGTTTATAAAAGCTTACGTTGTGCGTGAGCTGAGAGTGTACGGTACTAACGAAGCGGAAGTGACGTTGAAACCAGGAATAGTTCTATAAATAGCAGCCAGGAAGTCAACGTAATCATCGCTGTTGTCGTCAACATCCCATACTTCTACCTTAATCTTAATGCCACCCTGCAAAGGAACTTTTAATTAAAAATTCTAAACGGTGTTATTTAATTCATACCAATACATACATCATTAAATATCACAGGTATACGATTTTATAATTAAGACTTACCGGCCATAGGGCGAAGGGAAATATCATTGGGTTTGCCACACCTCCTACATTTCCACCGAAGTAGTTGTTGTTATTGTTGGAAACTTCGCCTGTTGATTTTCTTCCATAAGGACACCTGTATACATTGTTGGGTCTACAATACAATCAATGCGACTGATATTCTGTGTTGAATTTATTTTAGAAGCAATATGTGTACATGTATAGACTGAAAATCAAGAACCAGAACTCTTTGAGATTGGGCAAACCATATGTTGTGTTCTTTGTAGGTCTTGCCCTTGTCGTATAATTTAGGAAGAGAAGAGTCACCTGATACCGTTTTAAGCATTACAACATTTAATGATCTTTTCAAGCAAGTTTTTTTCATCTCACCATTTGACTGACAGTACTCGAGCATTTCGGTACTTTCAGTACATTGATTTTCATCTCACCCATTTGACTGGTCCAGACAGATGGTAAATCTGTGGTCACAGTCACTTCCGCTGAAGAAGAATTTCCCGTCACACGGATGTCCGTTTCTCCCCCGGCCCCCAGGATTGTAGTAACGCACCATAGTCAAAGAGATGTGTCCGGACCCCTCACATAGCTGTCAAAAAATATATAATGTTGCAGTAATCTTCTCATTTTAGCTGTAGTATAGTAATATATACCGTAGCGTATATATTATATATTAAGCAAAAAGCCTGTAGCCTACACATCATTTTCTCAGGGATAAAAATTTAGATGAAAAAATAGGAAAGAGGAGTTGATAATAAATTTCATGCCCATTAAATACATTTAGTTGCAAAAACAAAAAATTCACATTTTTATACCTATCACATGTAATTTTTTTCAGTTGTGCTTTTTATAGCCGAAATTCAAGTGTTCTATTAAAGTCAAATAAGGTTTAATTTGCTTTTGATAAGTTCAGACTATTACTGAAATAAAAAGTTAAAGGTCCAAAATGGTAAAAAATTAATTTGAACGTAAAATAGCAATCAATGCTTAATTTAAGTCTTATCAGACAATTTCAAGAGAATCGACAGTCACAGGATTAGTGCAGGATGTCAAATTGATAACTGGAAATATTTTTGGAAGTTAAATGTATTGATAAGGAGATTTCCCTATTTTCTAAGCAGAGTAAAATATTTAATCAGTTCTCAATTTTGTTATATAGTGGTCTTCCTATCATGATATTGTCTACCAACACTGCGCCTCAGGTTAAATCTGTAACTTCACACCAGCCTACAATAACCAGAAGTTCTGTGAGACTTACT